CAATGCATTTCTAATTTTTATGTGCTGCCAATGCTTTTAACATGTACATAAAAGCCAAAAACGTTAAAACTTTCTACAAAATAATCATCCGCTTGCCTGCAATTAAAGAGGTGAAAGCCCAACATATCTGTTGGGTATCAGAGGGGGTGGCGGCAGTTGGGTGAGGGGGCGGGGGTGTTTGTTTTTTGTGTTTGGCATGCGTTGTCACGTACACGTAAAAATGGCGTAAATGCTTTAAAAGTTGCATCAAAGTTGTTATGAAGTATTTGCCCAAGCCAGGAAAAGGAGCAGCCATCACGGCTCGATGCACACAGACACATAACAAACACACACAAATACATGCAAACGTGCACACACACAATCTCACTCATGTGAAAAAGTCAGAAAGTCATTTAAGAAATTGCAACGTTTGCAGAAAGTCACAAGAAATTAGCTGCAACATTTTCGGGTTTAAGCCAAATTTAACCTCTAGTTATATACTGTACGTATACGTATACTGTACGTGTGGTATGTGGGTGTGTGCGTGTGTGTCTGGTGTGCAAAACAAGTTGACATTTGACAGTGGAATAAAATGGCTCAAATGAATTTAATTCAAGGAAACTAGCAATGCAGCATGGTGCAAGTTTCCGGTGAATTGATTTAACAGCTAAAAAATGTTAAATGATTGTGTATCGAATTTTTTAGACATTACTTTAACAAATAAATTGAATGAATATACTTTACTTTAATTAATGAAATTTGTTAATAAGCTACCATAATGTTTGTAAAATTAAATTACAAATATATATTTGTAATGTGTTTTTTTGTAAGACTTTTTCTTTTCTTTTAAACCTTAAAATTATAAATTTCTTAGGTTTTCAGTTTGTAGCATAATTTTACAAATAAACTCCACTGTGTGGAGCTGCTTCTAATAAGGCGTGGCCCCGCCTTTTTGCCAGCACATTTACGTCGCATTGTAAACTTGTCTGTAGTTTTGGCCTGAGGCCAATTCGTGTTAGTTTTTGGGTACGAAATAAGCGTAGTTACCCATGTGTATTTGTGTGTGTGTTGTGGGTGGATGTTTACTTTTCTGGATAGACTGAGGTGTAGACAGGTAGCTGACGCTATGGCTGTCGGTGTCCATGTCTGTGTGTGTGTTTGATAGGCACAGCTCATTTGGACTGTGCCGTGACTGCTGTTTTCTTTTAGCCACTGTATGAAATTATGGTCATGCCCCTTGGCAGTTGTGGCATTATTAAGAAATGTTCGTTCTGTTCATGGTAAATGCCAGGCTATGAAGCAAGTACATTTTCTGCGTGGCCGTCAGTTTGTCAGATTTTAAGGTATCAAGATAAAAGCCTGTGCCTGTAGCACGAAGAAACTTAACATAGCTGTGTGGGTTTTATGCTGCCCGAGTTGCAATTTGTGCTTAGCTTAAGCTGCGACTTGTGGGGTGACTGAGAAATATGGTAGAAGCAAATCTTTACTTGTAATTAAGTAACTTCAGTTGCATTATTGTTTACATACAGTGCTCAAAATAATGATTACATTTAACAAGAACAATGCCAGTTAAACATTGAAAATAATTAAATTTACGATTTTCGATCTGCAGCTGTTTTGTGCCCTTTAATTAATAAAACGCAATTAAAACTAGAGCCAAGTTAATATTTCTCACAAGCTTATTGACTCAAAGACAACACACATGCACAGCAAATATGTATGAATAGTTGACTCGTATGCTCTATGCTAATGATGTCTGCCCTTATAGGTGTGTGTGTGAGTTCCTCTAGTCGCATCCGTTGATTAAATAGTCGTTTATTAAATGGTAATTGCATCCAAGTTAAATCAAACGAGTGCCAGCACGCTTGAAGGCGAACGGAGCTGAAGGACCCAAGTTTAATTGAGATTTAATTGGAATGTAATTAAAATTAATAATGCCTTAATATAAAGTGTAAATTGCGGATGCTTTTGTCCTTCAAGACCACTGACGTCAATTACAAAAACAATGATCGCATTAATTCACAGCAGAACAATGTGTGAGAGCATATGCGTGTGTGTGTTTGTCTGAGTGTGTGTTGAATCATTTAATTAATGCGTGCGACCACACGGCGTATGAGCAATTCCTTTTATTTTGCACAGTCTATTCAATCAAGATGCAGCGATATATACGTTATAATTAACAAAAGGACTATATTAAGAGTGCAAATATATCAATTCTAAAGAAGTGACATCTATTTAAGTACATTACTGCCATTGATTGCCAAGTATAGTTTTTTTTTCAAATTTTATTACTTCGATTTTTCCAATTGTCAACGTAAATATAAAGCAATCAATAGCACAGTTAACTCTGAATAACTGGCAAATAAAAATGAGACAATAAGGTGATCATAAATGCGCCGTCATTTGTAAATCCTGACGTCAACTAAATCATCCGCCATTTCCCACATGCTTTGGGTCAGCCCTGGAACTAATTAGGACAACACATGTTGAACGGCCCACATCTCGCATGATGAATGCTTCACAAATGTGGCAGAGGAAAGACCATTAGTCACTTAAATGCTGTGTTAAAGGGACACTATGCTGCACAATGTGTCCTGTCACAGGACATATAGGTGGTCAGCTGCTGGGCCGGATGCTGCTTAATGGCCATCGTGCAGCTATTTTGCAGTTGACTTCAGATATATAAATAAACAGGATGACTAACTTAATTAGTCATAAAGATGTCCTTTGATAAATAATAAAAGGGAAATGATTTTTTGTATAAGCTCTGCAATTGTCTTCTTATTTGGGAAATTTGAATGAAAGAGCACGAAGCTAAGTGGAGATAAAGATATTTGTTAAGCTTAATGAGTTGGGAATTGTGCTCACAGCATCTTTTCTTCAGATTCATGTTCTTATCAGTAAATGGATTGAGTTGTTTGAATCTTTATCGCGATTATCGAAGGTATGAATGTATATTTTAATATTTATCACCTTAGGCCCAATTCAATTGAATTGTCAATGTCTGCGAAAATAGCCCGAAACTGTGTAAATCTCCAGCGAGGCGTTCAGCAATTTCACGTTTCATCAAAGTCAGACGACAGATTCAGGGATTCCAATTTAGCTGGAGGCGATGCGAAGGCCACATGCAGTCAACAGTCGAAATCCGATGTCAACTTTAATGATTTTCATGGTCATTTTATATGTGCCTGTGTAGCCGTGCACAGTGGGGCAACTACTCTTATTATTATTTTGCAGGCGGGTGTCAATGCCATGAATGACGGCAAGTTGAATGCAAATGACTCATGATACAGAGTATGGAGAATTTAAAGATATTTGCAAAAGTTTCGAGTCTCATTGACATTCATATTTCATAGGCGCCATTCGTCACTTTTACATGATTAATAACTCTTGAATATTCATTAAAAATCAACATCGTGTCGTTTGTTCTGTTTACGGAATTACATATATTGTATTGGCGCCGGAGTCGAATAAATTAAATGTCAACATATGCCATTGAATTTGTCCACTTAATCACGTTGTTACCGCTTCAAGAGTCAGCGCGGCTTAACGATATTTTTATCCTTGTGGCAGGACGATGATAAATGAGAATTCGGTGCAGTCCAAAGAGTATTTCAGCCGTTCTTTGCCGCTTATTTACAGAATTTTAATCCTTCTTCGTAATATTAATCAAACATGCAACTCAAAGTGTTGTAAAATGATATTCAATTTTTACAGTGTGGTTTAATAAGTAAAACAGCGGTATAATAAAATAGGAATATTTATATTTTTAATTTATTGCGCATATTTCTCCAAGGAATAAAAAATGTAGCTTTAATATGGATACGTGGATTAATAATATTGTTGAATATTTGTTTACATTTACCTATTTATTTATGCTGCATATTTTGCTAAGGGCTTAACGTTTTATAAAAATATACATTTTTTGTTACCGCCCGCAGCAATATTCTCTCTCATTCTAAATATTTTTCCATCCCCCCCTCCCTTTCTCGCGACCAGCATAAATATTTGAGCGCTGTCTGTTAATACAACAGTTAAACAAGGCACCAAAACATATGTGCACAATGCGGATAAATAGCAACAAAATATAATTCCAATACCGCCACATAAATGGTGGAAAACAAAAGCAAAATTTTAAACAAATACGCATACGTTAATGCAAAATAAAAGCCAATATGGATACACAAACAGTTGGTGTGTGTGTCTTTTGTGTGTGCGTGTGAATTAGCCCACTTAGCATAGGCGACACGCACCATTTCGTGGCATGGGGGCTTCCTGCAGAAACAAATAATGCCAATAGGGCAGAAACAAAATGCTAGATATTGAACAAATAAACAAACAAAAATGAATCGTCTGACAAAGCGCACTCGATTAGTTGATACCCTTTAGTCATACCCTTTAAAACAACTTATGATAATATTGCACTCAAATGAAGTTAAGAACCAGGCTTATTTAATCTGAAATTAAGTGAACAAATACTTATTGCATAAATAAAAATATATAAGTTATTTAAATATGTTATTTGAATACACATACTAAAAATACCTTTTGGTAGATTTTGGATACAGTACGAGTAATTTCTTTGGTTTCTTTAGACTGAGATTTATACAGAAGGATATATAGCAAGGCTTGAAGCGATATACACTTTTGGATTCCGACTGGGTATCATAGCCAACTTAAATACGTGGAAATTTAATTGCTAATATCTGTGAAAATTTGGAGCCAAAGACTGTTTGATATTCGATTTCTCGTCTCTGTTGCAAAGGCCCAGAACAGAGATTGATATTTAATGAAGCTGGACATCACCGCGACGCGATCTACACAAAGTCCAAAACGTCAACTGCAACGATTAATGAATGTGTCGAGGTAATTGAGTTTCGACTGGTGCCATGCCCGGTTCAGCAGACACACAGTGGGGCTGTCTTTATTGCCTGTGCATAATTGACGCTTTGATGTATTGCCAGCAATGTTTTGCTGGATTTGTAAACCGTTTATCATGCTTCAATCCAGCCAACGCGTCGTATACTTAATATGCTTTTATTGAACATTTGGTTTCGGATTCGATAACAGTTTTTGTTTGCTGGCGCTAATTTGTCCACAAACTAACAAAATCGATTTAACAAACACTTTAAATAATTGCAATCTGTACAATGAATGCTCATGAATTTTCAATTGCTTTTAAATTTCGCCAAGTTTTAATATGGAATCCAATAGGCCTAATATAAAGCATATGCTATGATATATGACACACACACCCACACCCACACCCACACATATACTTTTTTTAGTTGTGCATATAATAACTATTTAGCTTTTCGTTTCAGTTTCTGTATGACGACCACTATGAACTCCGTGTTGAGGGACACGTGCACCTCATGCGTTTCGGAGCGTAAACGCATAAAGGTCACATCGTTAGCCGGATCCAAATCCCTTACCACATTGCGTGCCATTGTGGCCAACGGCTTTAGGAGAGAGGCATAATTATATGTGCGCCTCTGGCTAACTGTGGAACGGATTGGCTTGCCCACCGGATCCATTATAATAATTTCGCGTGCACCTCGCTTTTCAAAATGTTGCACGAATGCATCGCCATCGTAGGCTTGATGCTGGCTATAAAGCATTACACATGGATATTTAACTTAATATCGAATCGACGGCTACAATTTATAACTTACGCAGATGGAGTACTAGAACGTGACTTTTGGCTTACACGTCTCGATTCCGCCATTTAAAATTATTTTTGTATTGCTCCTTAGATTTTGTAAGAAAACTTCTCAATTGTGTAACAAATATTCAGAGACTGCGCGCAATGAATTATTTATTAATATTAGTAAATGCTCTGCCTGCTTCGATGCTTACATTTTTTAAATGTATCGATATTTGCTCTCAACCAATTAACTAAACGCAAGGACAGAAATAAATGAAATACTATCACACATTAGATACGTTGCGCATTTCTGAGAACTCGTAAAAGCATTACTTGGAAATGGCAGGCAGAAATAAAAGCCAAATAAAATCGTTTAAGGAAACCCAAATAAATACATTTTCTTGTTGGTTAATAATAGTCAAACATATGTTTCTGCAAATATTTAAATACGATACGATTTTATTAAAATTAGACAAATATCGCAAGTTTTCTAGAGGGGAATGCGTCCTCGTAGATAATCCATGGTGGCTGCGGTGCCCATTGCTAAAATTTGATGACGTGGCTGACGGAACGGATTCCCAGACAATTTCAACTCAGTTATATTTGTCATTTTACCCAATACGGGTGGCACCATCTGAATATCGTTGTTGCTTAGATCCAGCACATTGAGCTGGCTCAAAGCGCCGAGTCCATCTTCGGTGGCATCCAGCTCCTTAATTTGATTATCGTTGGCAATGAGGGTTTCGAGGTTTTCCAGCTCGTAGATGCAGCTAGGCAAGTGATCCAGGCGATTGTGCGATATGTTCAATTCGCGCAGCATTTGAAGACCGGCAAATTCCATGGGCAAGCCACGCAGTAAATTGCATGACAAGTTCATAACATTAAGGCGCGAGAACTGCGATATGAACGTGGGTATATAGGAGAGCTGGTTTTTGGCCAGAACCAGCTCGGTGAGTATTTCGCTCATTTTGTGCAGCTCAGTCGGCACATCAGTCAATAGATTGTCCTCAAGTCTCACAATATTGACCTGTTCTTCGCAAGCCGTGTCAATGACATTTCCCGGCAGATTCTTCAGCTGTGCTTTACCTAGACTCAGAACGCGAGTGTTACGCATCATGTACTTGTCTGGAAATGGTTTCCCTAACTCAGAAGTTTCTTTTTTCCCGCCTTGATGGCGGGGACTGTTTAAACCATCACCGACCATTGTTATCGAAGTGAAAGAACACCAAAAACAGCTGCTCACAACTTTAAATCGGAATTTTATAGGATTAAAACGAATTGGAGCTATACAAATGTCAACGAATGAAATATTAATGAATTTTTAAATTCCATTTTAGACTTAAATAAGTTATATGTGAATACATTTTCGAGGCTAACATGTTATTCCAAATACATTTTCCTTGTTTGTGCACTCCAAATATCTTAAATATTTTTTGCAACTGAAGCGAATGAAATTGAGTTGCAATTAGCTATTTAATGCAAAAATACATTATGCCTGCTATTGCTATTTCATTAACTTCCGTTCTTCAAGTTAGAACTTTATTTGCTTAATTGTAGCTCCCAAATGTGTGCATAAGCCAAAGGCTTATGTTGCGTATTATTTTAAAATAACCGGGAGGGGCGGCTTTCCGAATACATTTTACTGGTTTCAAGAACAATGCCTTAGAGACAATTATAGAGGTATATCAAAAGCGGCCAAATGGCAAGGATTATAGATAGTTGAGCTTGTGGAATAATGCATTTTTGCAGACTGACTGTTTGCATAAAAACATTCATAAAATTAACATACAATTTTATATTGAGCTTATCTTGAATTTCTAAAAAGATTACATCTAGGTAGCAAAAAAGTCATTTCAATAACACATGGATAGGGACGGGCCTGATTAGCTGAAGGCTGCCCCTATCGGAAATTTGCACATACGCATATTCAATTGGGCTCATGTTCAAAGCACGCCACAGTCTTTGAGGACAACCAGCTCATGCTTCTTGGCCAAGTGCGCGGTGGCATCCTGAATGCGTTCGAGCAGCTGCAGACCCTTGCGGACCTTGCCAAAGGCAATGCGCTTACCATTCAAAATGGACAGCGGCTTGAAGCTGAGGGTAAAGTTGAGGGCGGTGCGCGCATTGCCGCGCACATAGCGACTGGGAAAAGAGAGAATGCCCGCATCGACGCCATGGTTGAGCACCTCAAAGTCATGCTCGATGTTGCTCATGTCAATGCTACGCTCGGGATCCAGAGCAATGAAGCCCTCGAGCCAAATGGGCGCAAAGGTGCGAGTGAAGCTAATGCTGCGAGTGTTTTGGTGGGTGCAGACGCGCATGAATTCCAGCACCACCTGGGGACAGGCCTCCGTGAAGAGTTGAATGGTTAGGCGGCCCATAATGCGGGTGCCAATCACCTCCAAATCCATATAAATCTGAGGACGCAGCAGCTTGCAGAGTACGCCCACGTCACAGATGTTCATCAAATCCTCGTACCGATGAAGCACATGCATCGGCACCTCATAGCTAAATACCTTGGACACCTTGGGTTTGCTGCGTCGCGTCTTGCCCAAGTGCGGATCAAACAGTTTGCCGCCCTGATGAAAGACTTTATTTTTCTCCTGCTGGTTACGTTCCTTTTCCCGGGCCAAGCTGGTGTTACGCCAGCGACCGGCGGCCAGGCGATCTGGCGACTTGGTGAATGTGCGCAGCGTATTGTTGCTTTTGCGATAGAGAGCAGTGAGCATCTCCATGTAGGATAGCTCCATGCCATTGCCCTCACTAATCTTCATCTTTGGCGGCGGCAAGCATGTGTTCACCTTGCCCTTGATATTGGCCAGGCGATCCCGATGCTGACGATACAGATCTCTCTGCTCATTCATTCCCAAATGGGAACGAGACTTGATCCTGGGTAAATGCGACTTGGCTACGGGCGCCGGAATTGCCCGCTGATGGTATTTGTGGTTGTTCTTCAAAGCAGTCACATTGATGTTAAATGTATGACTGTGCATCTTGGAACTATTGTCCTCAACGTCCGGATTACTATATACGGGATTTGTTAGTGTATAGGGTCCACGCTTTACGGCAGCCACATATGGGGCAACTTTTTGGCCAGCGGCCAACGGCTGCTTCTTCGCCCGCAATTCATTGGTGACATCCTTAATAAACATGTTTCGCACGTATTTTCTTACTCTATCCAAAACGAAAATGTACATATACTAGAATTTTTTCCGGATAACTTGTTGTGGTACTCGAGCTGACTAGAATATGAAAAGGGTAACCTAATAAGACATACAAATATCAATTTTCCATAGGCTGCTCGGATCAATTTGGACTTTTTCAATATATTGTAATTCATGATGTTGTCCTGTAATAAGGGTATTCATTTACTGCTGCCTTAACTAAGACATGTTTTTAATTCATGTTCAGTTGGTATTCAATGGCTGAGAGCAAATCTTCAAACATTTTTACTAAACTACCTACACTAGTTTTTAAATAGTTTCGTTCTTATTGTTGAAATAGAATACAAATATCTAAAAATTTCATATCAAATTTAAGTTTTTTATATTATTAAAATTTTATTAGTATTGAATTGAATTTTTAGATTTTAAATTTGTGTTATGAAATAAATATATAAAAATAATAAAAATTATTTATAAATAAATGCCTTATTATTATTTTGAGGTAGATATTACATTATTGTAACTTGGATGCACTGTTAATTTGTTTTTGTGGCGAGCTCTGTGTGGCACACACAATGTGGCAATCAAATAAAGGATACATAAATGATTGCTGCCAAACTGTAAATTGAACGCAATCATGTGGCAAAACTTTGGTGTCCGATAAAATGAACCAATAAAGAAAATGAAAGCAAAAAACCCGCCCAACCGCCGATGCGTGTCAGAGAACCTGAGGACATTGCCATGGGCATGAATAGATTGTACACCGATAATAAACCAAAGCAGAGTAAAATAAAAAAAAAGGATGAAACATAAATACTTCAAACTGGAGTGTTTGCTATGAAATACCCTTTAACCAGATCGAAAAGCTTATTTTTTGTGAAATTCGAAAAAAGTCACTTGTATATATATTTCGTAATAAAAACGTTACCGCAGTATTTCAACAAATTTAGTAGGTTCGGTTTTATCCATATCAGAGATCAACAACATTCCCAATAATATTGCTTTCTCCTAAGTATGTTATCAAAACCTTAACAGCAATTTCTTGCTGCTGTTCTTTAGAGGGTATCAAAAGCAAAATATTTAATCAAAGCGAGTGAACCTAAATTGGCAACCACAACTGCATGTAATCTGGATAGCTGGCAGGCAATTCCAGTGCCGAGGGTTAATAATAGCCAACGCGGTTTTCCGGGTGGCATACTTGATTGAAAAATGCTCAATCAATTGATGGAAATAAATTTATGAACTTTAAAACGATGACCAGAAAGTACAACAATAACTCGCTGTTACTTTCTTTACCAGCCAGCCTGTGTGAATTTTCCAAATTTACTATCATATTATTTGATATGCTTTAGTAATTCTTGGCCAATTATGCGTTATGTTTAAATGTCATACATTCGGTTAATTTATAATGGAATATTTTTTTGGCGCGCTTTTATTAATTACTTGAAAATGTTGCTAAATTAACATTTGCGGGGTGCCGAATGATATAAGCGTGTTTGCGCATAATTACAGATTTAATTAAAATTTGCATTGTGCAAACGTTTTTCTGCAATTCTAAAACTTTTTACTGCTATGCAAATTTAAAATGACAGTTATTTTTAATACCCTAAACCAATCTGAAAGGTTTTCAGGGTCTATTACACGGAAAAGAATTGGATACAAAATTGTGTTTTTGTCGTCAGCAAAGTTGACTAAGCTTAAAATATTGGAAAAATTGTAACAATTTAAAATTATAATAATAATTTTATTTAAATCAAAAATATTATTTAAGCATATGTTTAAAATCATGTTTCAGCACATTATTTTTATTTATTCTGATTTGTTGTATTTGCACGCATAATTAATTGCATAAAATAATATGAAAAAAAAAAACATCTGGTGGCCGCACGGGCAATAAAAACTCAATCGATTTGCATTAATTGAATGTTAATTCGGCTACGATTTTGCGGTGACAATTAAATGATTAATGACATTTCATTTTTGCCTGGCACCGCGCGTGCCTATGGCTGGAGCTGAATGATAATGATCTGGAGGACAAGCACTTGTGGTATTTAAACACATATGAGCTAGGAATTGTGCAGCCGCATTAGCGTGTATGAATAAGATCAAGGACAACGCTTGAGTGCGACATTCGAGCACAGTAAGCACACGCTATCAGCGCCTTATCACTCAACAATCAATGATGACACTGACAAGGACAATAATCGCACGGCAACGGAATGGGGGTGTTAGCAGCTGTAGACGGCGAACCACTTAAGCGCCTTTGTTCTCAAGTGCCACACACATCATTACACACACACAGTTGCATTGGCTGCACCACCCACGCCACTTGAATTCGCCTTCTACGAGTGTGGCATGTGGCACTGCTTAAGTATTGTATTTTTACTAATGCATGTTAGGCTCGTGTTGTTTTTGTTGTTACAGCCCGACTGTTTTGTATATTTGCATGCCACATGCTCATGTTGCAACGTTCAACTAGAAAATGTGTCAACAATGAAGATGCCAAGAGCTGAGCGACTGATTCACAAATGCAATCATCCAGAGTTCAACTGTTGACAATTTAATCAAATATATTTGCGACGTCTTGCACACGCACAATTTCATTTATTTAACCCACAAATTCCAATGTGAAATGTACAGAATTTGAATTTGAAATATGTGGCATGACTTCATCGCATGTCGATTCGACTTGAATAGCTTTGACAAGCTGGAAAAATGTAAATTTGTATTATAAAAGGCGATTTTGAACTCCTCTATGTGATTCCTATAGATTCAATTGTCTGGCAAATTCAAGGCTTTATAGATTTCCTGATTAAGTGTTATCGAATTTAAGCCACAACTTAAAATAAATATTAATACACATTAATATGAAGAGGTTTTTTATTGCGTCTTTTTATGTGAAACGTATAAGCTGCAATCATTGCACGACAGGTTCCTATTTAAACCAAAATTTGCTCCTGGTGCCCGCTTTCAACATTTTATTGCCAGGCCATTACCGTATGTTTGGCATATTAAAAGGCTCGATGCTGCTTTTGGGCGACCACAAAGTGTTCTCTCCAGCACCTACAAAAATACATATCCAATATGCCGCAAATATATTCTGCTTGACGCACTTAAAGCTTTCTGGGCTTCAATTTTTCTTGTCTCGTCTGTGCGCATTCATTTTATTTGGCATTATTTGATGTCGTCTGAACTTATGTATATGCCATAAAATCATATGGTCGGGCAGCCAAAAATGTGTCTGACCTTGCTGTCCCGCACACACACACACACACTCACCAAGTTTTATGCTTGTATGTTTTCATATTTTTGCGAGTGTTTTTTATGGCGGCTACCAAAATGGAAACAAAAGCCAACAGCCGAAAGTTAAGAGCATAATGGAGCATAAATGCTTTGACTATATAAATGTGATTTTTTGCTGCACGCTTTGACGCGCTCCTGGCCATGTCCGAAACATGTCAGCGCTAACGAATCTCCTGTTCATGCTTGTTGTTTCCATTTATTAGTGCAGTAAGGTTACTTTATGTTTTTGGATTTTCAGCTTTGGCGGATTCTTCAAGTATCATGAAAAAGGCAAAGGCAGTTCAGGTGTGCATTTTCTTGACGATAAATTAAAGCTGTGTTGCAGGTTATGGGTTAAAAAATATAATTAGTCTTTTTTTTTCTTTTAAAATATCTAAAGGGGTTTTTTCTGTAGCCATCTTGTTAATTTCAATTACTTAATGAACTATTTTAGTACAACAATAAATTGCTTGGAACTCCTTTACCTATGAGTATTTCATTAGTTCTTAAATACTCCTTTCCTTGCTTTCTCACAATATTGATGCACAAATTGCTGGCCCATAAAGACATCAGTTAATTAATGGCGTTAATGTCCTGACAGCAGCTCTAGAAGCTGCTAATTAACCAAATTGACTTATCAAGCCCCAAAAGGACTAAATGCGGCAGCAGACCCTGAAGGGATAAAATCAGTTAATGGGCGGCTTAATTAACAGCAATTCAAGGTGTTAACGGCGCTGCTTTTAAGTCACCAAAAATATTAAATCTTATTTTGTATATATCAAGGCAATGTCAACGGCAGCCGGCGGTTGTGGACCAGTGGAAAGTGGCAGCCGCCACACATTAAATACCATTTCAAAGGCTTGAAAGTTTTTCGTTACCAAATGCAGGTGGGCTGCTTACCTTTTGTGCTGAGGCACTGAAACGAGAGTAAAAAGAAGCCAAAAGGTTAAATATGGCCATGTTAAAGACTGGATGAGATATAAAATCTTAAGTATGCGTGTAATCCCGAAACAATTTTATTAGCCAAACCCAAAGATGGCTCTAGACACAACGGAAGCCAATTAGGTTAATGCTCTTGTAGGAGCCAGAGCCTAAAATGGGCCAAGAATGCGTCAAGTGTTTACGCATAAACTTGGCTCTCAGCTAGATGCTCAGCCCCTTAAGCAGATTATATTTATATTAATAGAAGCACATTTGCGCGCAAGGATATCGTATATGTACTTAATAACGTATTTTTCAACTTTTCGAAAAAGCGGAAAACAGCCCTTGGCCATTTGCTTTGTTGTTTTTAACATTTACTTTGACAACTTTGTTGCTATTTAAATCAATAGACGAGAGTTTTTATCGCTGTGTACCTTTTTTTTTTGTTTTTTAATTTGAGCTTGTTTATAGAAAATAATGAGAATTATGTTTTGTGGAAAAAATATTTGGACAAGATATTTTTTTTTTAATTGAACATTTCTTAGGAAATTAGCATAATGCTTTGTTTGTGCTCAGGAAAAATACTTTTCGATAGCTATTTACTGGTTCAAGAAGCAAGGCCTTGAGTTACAGGCATTACAAATTTTAATGAACAAGTTTAGTTTTTGATAACTTGTGAATGGTAGAAATAGATGAAGTAATAATGTTGCTAAACATATTTCATCCCCTAAACGCATACCTGAGTCTTACGCAAAATAATATAAATCTCTTATTTTTAGTTAACATCTTTAAAGGTCCTGCTACTATTGGATTCTAAAAAAATTATTTGTATTTAATTGTTGTAGCATTCTCTAGATCATATAAACTTACTATACAAAAATGTACTATGTAAGGCGGCCGGTTTGACTTCTTGACTAATGGCACCCAAACATTTAAACTTGTACTGAAAATTCCCTAAAATACTTTAATAAAGGAACACCAAACAATTTTCGAATTAATTGCAATCAAGTTTCGTTGCTTGAAGACCGCAGAGCCTCTGCGAAAATACAGAAATCGCAAAAGATGGGTTTCGGGCCTCGTGCTGGCTAAATTGAAGGCTCAAAGTAAGGTGTAAGGTGTATAGACGGCACATATGTACGTTATTCTATGCAAAAACCAGTGCAAGCCACAAATACACACACAGCCACACACGCACATGCACATTCACTTGCTCTTGTGCGCAAGGCTTCCCACTGAGCTGAGCTGGAAGCAATTTATCAAAGCATTGCATAGCAATGGAGCTGGGACATGCAAGCCCATAAAGGATATTCAGAACTGCTTTAACTTTATGCTCCTACGATTTGAACACGTGTTAACAACATAAATGCATAACAGTTACCCCATTTAGACAGTCGGCAGAGGCGCCATGTGTTCCGCATGTTCTTGGTATTGCAGAACTTTCCATTTTCAGGAGCAGGTTGTCCTTAGCTGCACCGGCTGCAGTGGAACAGTTGCGTTTGAAAAATCTGATTCAACAATTTATAAAGCGAGAGTTTTGTGCATTTGTTGTTCAAGTTAATGTATTCTGTTTGCTATAGAAAGTTGAAGTCTAAAATCGGTTTAAGAACTCAGAAATTTAAATTATAAAATTGAAATTTACAACAATGATTTATTCGTATTTTTTGCTTAAATCCTCTTAGGGATACATTACGTACCCTCTTTATTTTGGATATAAGTAAAAACTGAGTTTGCCACAAGCGAAAATAAAAATATGAATAGTTAAAAATCAAAAAGTTTCTTTTACTTTTGCATATACAAGCTTTAATTAAAGCCCAGTTAAGGCATTAATTGGCCCATGGCAATCAGTTCAGCAAACGGGGCATGTGGTAAAAAATATTTTATATCAAGTAGAGAAAAGGCAGGAATCATAAATTAAAAACAAAAGGCAGCAGCACAGCAATAAAATTGAGAAAACTTTGCTGAATGGCGCCTTAAAAGGCAGACAGGGAGCATTAAAAGGCTCCACTGGGCAATACATATACACGAGGACGAGGTACTCATGTGTTTATGTGAAAAGCCGAACACACACTCACAGACACATACACACACACTCTAACGCACACATATACACACACACACACACGTAGACAGGGAGAGACAAACAGTGGTGGCCACAAAAGCAGCTGTAAAATAGTTTTTCATATCCGCTGGCAACTTGCATTGTGAGATGGCCTCGTCTGTAGTTCAATGTGTGTCTTTCTGTGTGTTTGTCACCTGAGCAGCTGTTGTTGTTATTGCTGTAGTTGTTGTTGCTCTTATCCTGTGCCCCTGTCAGCCGTATGATTGCGCATTCATAATATTTCCTGCCGCCCGCTCTTTGCCTTCTTTTGCCCCAGAATACATGCAGTTTGAGTACAAAGCTCATTTTTCTCATTTGGCTTGCGGAAATTTGCACTGCACTGCAAATCAAAGTCGCTCGCTATGCCATTGACAGCACACACATCCAGGCACATGCTCACAAAGTATCTGTCACTAAATAAACTTTGATTTATTTATACACACTTTGCACTCTGCATTTTGGCCCTACGGCAAAGTCTTCCAAGTCATGGTAAACATTTTGTTGCCGCTTTCTAGAGGCCAAGCAGCTGCTGCATGCGAGTTGTATACGTGTGTCTATTGTGCGTGTGTTGGTGTGTTGGTGTGTGGGGGTGTATATACACTTCCTGTTTCCCTGTTTCAACTTTGCACTTTCAAGTTCATTCCGTACTTAACTGTGTACCCTTGTGAGTGCACAATTTCACATACAGTTGACGTAGCTTTGCAGAAAAATCACTTTTTAAGACAATTAGGAAATCATTTTGCCACGTGCTACGAATCTCATAAGTTAATCAAAATGTCATTACAAGTATTAAGATTACGCATACATCCACAAACACAGCAAAACTGTTAATATAATTTTCAGCTATGTAAAAGGTTTTTTTATTCCAATTTTAAATGGAATTCGTAATGAAATTTTCGCAATATGTCCAAGGCAAGAAAATGTTCTCAGCTAGAGAATATAAATCAAGCTTCGAACAACTTTAAAACTGTCAAAAATAAGTTTGCCCTTTACCCAGTTGTTTTTATTAGTGAAGTATTTTCTTTGTGCTTCGGGCTACAATTTAAACTATGCCTTTAGCCTTTTATAGAATTTAAACATACAAAGGCTATTACAATTTTGTTTACAAAATAGATGACAACTGAAAGGAATTGTGTCAAGCTTGATAGTGCATAAACTATTTTTCTATAAATGCTGTTTTGTTTTTCTCCAATTTTAATAAATTGAATATTGTTCAAAAGTATGTTCAACGGCACCAATTTTATTTAGAGCATTAATACTTTAAATTAAGCAAACAAAAATTAAGCATTAGGGCTAGTCTTTGCTTGAATATAATTCCTATTTTTATCTTTAAAACTGTTAAAATGATTATTAAATAAATTACATATATAGAATATAGTTTTTTTTTATTTTTATTTAAAGGTACATTTTGCTTAGACTCAGCGCGTTGTAATTCTTTGACCTTGGTTGCTTTTACCTCATTTAGTATTTGTGATCTTCCTTAAAGCTTTTCACTTATTTCCTTACTTTGTTTGTACATAAATATTTATTGTCAATTTGCTAAAATCCATGCACACTAAGATCAAATATTCAGTGCTAGCAAAAGTAAATACGAAAGCATTGTGAATCCAGCAACTTGTTGGAGTATTCGAGTACTCGAGTATTACAGCTGTCAATTCACATGCACTCACGCAAGCACTCAGTCATAGTCAAGACGCACAGGTCTGCTGCGGCTCAGGTAACTGAGTAGTTGAGGAAAATCTCACTCTATAGTTTGGCAGAAAAAGCAGCAATTTCTTTTCTTATTTTCTTTTATTTTCATTTTTTTTCTTACGTTTGTCAGTTTGCTGATATATTTCCCAGGACAGCCGCTTGGCGGAGCTGAAACTCTCGCCTGGCCGTGACGAGGGCTAACGACAAGGACAATGTCTGTTGCCAGATGCATGGTCCTGCAAGTCCGCATATTGTCGCGTATTGCAACAGCTTTAACAGGGATTTATGCAGATTACAATGGCAACAAGTTTAGCAAGCTTGTAGCATGTTGCACAGATCTAATGGCTGCATACGCACAAACATTCCCCTGGGGTAACAATTTTTACATAAACAAATTGCCAGGGGCTCCACCTAAACAGCAGCTTAATAGACAAATTTTAAGTGGGAAACTGTGTACCGATTTTGATGGAATTCCTAAATAAAATATGCATTGAGTTTTTGTTCTAAGCCGTATATATATCCATTTATCCTTTTGCGATGGCTGACCACCTGTTAAGCTTTCTTTTTTGTACTTCACTTGAACTGAATTGCCCTTTGGGTTGGCACTCAAACGCTGCATGCCATGGCACAGGGCTCATCTGTGACCTCTGACACGCCATTTAAAAGCAACAATTTTTATTTGAATGCCTCAGCTACAGCTGCTGCATGAGCTCCTGCTGTTGCTTGCTTGCGTATGCATAACAGAAATATTCGAAAGGTTTGTGCAACGTTTGGTTGCGCCACATGCAGAATGTGCAGCCATTTCGCATAATCTTAGATAGTTTCCAACCGTTTCAGCCCGAAACTGCCACAGAATAGTTACGCAAACAGACGGAAAAACTATATATATATATATATATGTATATATATAGAGAGTTCGTGTTGGGGCAACGTTTATGGCACAAAGATGAAGTTGCCGCTGTGTGGGGCACAGCATGTGGCACAACTGCAGTGGAATTTGTTTGCTTATTATGTTATAATTCGTATATCCATTTTCCCAATATGCACGTCTTACACGAACTGGCTTCCAAGTACGCACAAACAGTCGCATTAATTCGCTTCGTACTCGCGGTTTTATGCTCCTTAAGCAGCACGTCTTATCCTATGGTGGCACGTAGAAATACTTTCATGCTTATAATAAAGTACGGTTTCAGTTGACTTTTGAATAATAGATTAAAGTACTATCGATGTGCATGTTCAGCCTTGACCTTGCTAACAAGCTGGTCGGAACTGTGTTTTGACATTTTTGTCGTTTGCCGCGTACATTATTTGAATATGTGTGTTATCCCGCCTGTTTGGCCTGAGTGAAAAAACTGTCTCATCTGAGTAAGGTTCGATGCCTTAAATATGCTATGCAAGTGATTTAATTAAAATAAACAGCAGCTAAATAAACACATTGTAAATAAATTCCAATCTATAAATTAGTTATATATTCCAATACAAATTAAAACATCAATTTATAATATAATTGTTCAAGTTGCCAAATTTTTGTTTGTTATTTAACAAATTTACCTTGTCTAAAAGAATAAAATATTGGGAGCAACTAAACGACTTCCTCAGTGCGTTCGATGTCTTGGATAGACAGAAGTATTTAACACAGTAAAAAAAAAACAGCTTAATGGTTGCTTAAGAATATGAATAAATTAAAATTGTTCGCAACAATATTTATAAGCTCAAAAATCGAATTTAACAAAACATTGCGCATACGACGTGCGGGCAATGATTTTCTTGCTTCGCTTATTAACATAAACGAGGCCTTTGATCTCAGGTTTTCAATTGAATTGAAAGCAAATCTTATTTAAGCGATGACATCGATAGCCAAATTGTCAACATTCTGATGCTTTTATGTTTTCACTAACTAACAAAATCGACAAATTATATTTAAGCTGAATGCCTCTAAGGTCCAAATTGGACGGTACGGTTTTTGGATGATAGCGATATAATATAATTTACCATTTAGGTTTTGAAACTTTAATTTGAGTTTTTGGAATGATTGAGAGGAAATATACCAAAACTTTTTTGCATTTCGAGCAAACATAAATTAGTTATAATAATATACATATTATAGGAGATGTCTAATAAAATAAGCCTAAATTACAGTTGTGACAGGCAAATCTTGTGCAAGCATTTTGCAAGAGAAAGTTTTGTTGTCAAGTGTTAATTGAAACTATGAGCAGTGCTTTCTTGGGTTTCAGACTCATCAATTTATATTATAACACGCATTTAATTTGCTGTGCTGTAGTTGTTCCAAATTGCTTGCATATGCAAATTTATGCAGTTGTTTACCTCTGCCGAAGCGCAAGCTCAATAAATTGCACTTGCCAATGTTTCTGGTTGAACTGCTTGGCAATTGATCCATAAATGCTGCACAATCTGTACGACTATTAAATGAAATCGTCTGCCGTGTGGCAGCCGAACGTAATATTAGAGTACACAACGTGGCATCTGAGAGGCGCCTGCAAAGTTTCCGATAAGTCGAGAAACGCCCACAACTCAATTGAATGGCAGTTCGGGTTTCAGGACTCATCGATTCTTTCTTTGCTTTGATTGACTCGCAGTTGCAGTAAAAATACAATAAACCAAAGAAATTTCAGACGGCGATAAGCGAAAATCTCCGAGAAATCAGCGTAGCAAATACATATACAGATAAATTTAAATGGTACATCTCAAGTAGTAGGGTATTTTTAACGGAAGCTGAAAAGGTATCGTAGTTGTCGCATTTAAGCCAAACGACTTAGTTTGCGTTGAGTTGATTGTCAGCTGGATTTTGTTTTCTTAAGCAGGCTGTGCTACAAGCTTCTCACTTCACAATTGCTGATTTCTAATTGAAGAAAAATTATTTGGTAAGGCAGAAATTAAATTTTTACATCCGCTTATTCTAAAGTATCATTTAATTGCTGTAGCATGGCGCCCAGGAAGGCTAAGGTTCAGAAAGAGGAAGTTCAGGTGTCGCTGGGCCCGCAGGTGCGAGATGGCGAGAATGTTTTTGGCGTTGCCCACATCTATGCCAGTTTTAATGACACGTTTGTCCACGTTACCGACCTATCCGGTCGCGAAACTATCGCACGTGTCACTGGCGGCATGAAGGTCAAGGCCGATCGTGACGAGTCTTCACCCTACGCCGCCATGCTGGCCGCCCAGGATGTGGCTGAAAGGTGTAAGGCACTTGGCATTACTGCACTGCACATCAAATTACGCGCTACGGGCGGCAACAGAACCAAGACACCCGGACCCGGCGCTCAATCCGCATTGCGTGCTCTGGCTCGCTCATCCATGAAAATCGGTCGCATTGAGGATGTGACACCCATTCCATCCGACTCCACACGCAAGAAGGGCGGTCGTCGTGGCCGCCGTCTCTAATATGTCATACCAGATGACCTATGTATATTACTCACGTGTCTCATGCATTTGTTTCTAATAAATTGAATACATAATCGGTAAACTGTTTTCTATTAAGTTTAAAATGCAGGAGCTCTTTCTTGTCGTGCATCCAGAAGAAAACTTGGGCATTAATTGCCATAAGTCTGAACAATTGTCGCAAGGTTCGGTTTATGAAGCTGATTCTTCACTTACACAGGCACTGCAGTATTTTAGATTTTATCGTTAGATAAAATAGACCGATAGCACTAGATCGACTCGGGCTGTGATGCTGATCAAGAATATATATACTTTATGGGGTCGGAGATGCTTACTTCTGCCTCTTACATACATTTGCACAAATACCCTTACTCTTTTTACGCAATGGGTTCAGGGTATAAAAGTACATATTGACTTAAAGCTTTTGATAATATTTTTATTATATTATTCTCTAGCGTTGATCCTGTGCAATTTATTTCGAAACTCTCAACTTTTGCGAGCATATTACAAAGCTCTCCTCACCTATGGGTATCTTTATTTTTATTACCAGCTTATTTCTGCAGGCATGTTTCAGCAAAACGAACCAAAATTTATTTGCATATATTTTTCTGTCGCTGTTTGTGTTTTTCTTTCGCTTTCACATGGGGCATATTTTTTATTACCTTGCAAATAAATACAATTTTATAGCAACTGCGGGCTAAGGCAGTTATGAAATACAACAATCCACACGTGTTCCCCACTTTTTGCATGTGTATTTATATTATTGTAAGGCATTTAAATGCTTACAATTTTGAGGGGTTTTCAGCTCAACGCAGGATTGGAAACTGGCGGACCTGGGTCCTATATTAATGCTTGTAGTTTGTGCTTGTCGCTGTTGTTGCTCTTGTTTTTGCCGCCGCCACCTGTCGCCGTGGGCGTGGTAACTGATATTTTATCCCGTCACTGTGTCTGGTCGCACACAGACAAATGCACACACACACACACACACACACACACACACACACACTTTCGCTCACACTGGGCGTATGGGTAATACATACAAAAATATGGCGAGCTGGTTTTTCGCTGGTGTTGCCGCAGCTGCTGCCGCAAGTTTTTGCCAAAGTAAATTAAATTTCAGTTGCGAGTTTAGCTTAAATGGAAACTTTCCGTTTTCGCAGCGCATCTCAAGTTCTGTCCACACCCCTCCCCCTCCCCCTGCCCCCTAGAGTTGGCTCTCTGCCTCCTCAGATGGCTGTCTTAGTTTAGTGGATCTTAATTAAAACGCGACTCGTCGCGTGCAACTTGAGGCAGTGTTTTTGAGCGTCCCCTTGATGCTTAATTAAAATACTTATGCGACATGTTGTGCGCCGCCATGAGATGTGTGTCAACAGCTGCTAATGCCACACCTGACGCATTCGTGCAGGTGTATAGCACGTGAGTCAAGTGTTTTCTCACCCACTGTCTGCTTCTGCTTCTGTTTCTGTTTGTCTGGCCGATTTCTTACCACTTGTCGTCCGCTCTGACTCCTCTTCCATGTTGTCACGTTTCCATATTACCAACCTATTCGTTTACGTTCTCGTTGTCGCTTCGGCAAAGTGCGCAATCCACGCTAATTTGCAATTCCCACAAAATGACACAACCATCCATCCAGAGCATTCGCCGTCACCAGGCACCAAATAAGCAGCACCAAGCACTTGAATCTGTCCTGCTTTATTTTCATTTCGGTTTTTGTTCCCGACTACTTTTGAGGTCGACAGACTTGAGGCTGCTTTTGTTAATAAAAAAAGAGCCTTTGCATTGGGATAAACTGTACGGCGACCGTAGGCAAAGCCAAGTCTTTGTAAAGAGATTAGTAACTAATTCTTAAATGATGCCTAAGTTAAAGTCTTTGAACTCTTAGATAGTTCTATTTGATAAGCCATTAATACTTTTTATACTTTCTCCTCCAGTAAACGATTTGCTTTGAAAAAACTTAGGTTCTTTATTCACAATACTGAGAAAATATCTCAATTTTTAGTTACATTATGGCAATTACATTTTAAATATTTCAAAATATGAATCGCATTTCAAGTACAGAGCACCATTAAAAACGAAACTCAAACTATGAATGTTTTGAATTTCGGTTCTTTATGTGAGTCTGCATATCAGTTAGCTGATATGCTATGAAAACGAAGAAGCTATTCTTGGCCTGCTGCTTTGATGCATATTTGTAGCATCTTTGAGTATCCAGTAATTGCAGTAATGATTTAATTCAAATGACCTGGAATGTTCAAGTTCTTAGAGTCAAGAATAACATGTTTGAGTTGAATTAAGTGGTTTTCTATTGCGTGACTTTTGACCTAATTGGGTAGCCCCAGCTGATGCCCTTAATGAATCCGAACGATTTGGATTGCAAACTATCTTTTGGCTCGAAAGCTGCTTAGAAATATGCGAATCCAAAGAACCTTGTTTGGATCCTTTGGAGTTGTCCTGCATACTTCTCAGCTTTGGAAAGAGTGCACTATTTTGCTGAGAAAATGTATCCGACTTTGCAGACTGTATAGGAGTTGGATAGCCACCAGGAAGAGGATCTTCCTCGTGGAATAGATTGCTAGCACGATCGAAGGAATCGATGCTGTCGACAACAGGTAGGCCGCGATGTTGGCAACACTTGATGAGGCCCCCCGTAGGGCACTTTTTGTATGGCTGCTCTTTGGTTGCCATTTTGGTGATTTTAATGCAATTGGCAAAGATCTGATTGCGATCTCTTTGCTGTTCCTGGCGGCATTGCTCGCGATGCTCGTACTTTTTGTACGCCAAATCTGCCTTGGAGTAGTATCCTGGCCAGCAATAGTCTCGTATTTTGCTCCTGCCCACCATACGACCCTCAGGCACCTCATCAATCTGGTTGCTGCGTCGGTAGAACTCCACAGCTTTGGCAATTGGAAAAACAGGACGTCCTATCTTACGTGCATCCTTAATCGCCTTAACCGCATCACCAAAAAATAAAACATCTTCTTGCAGATACGGATCTTCTCGGCAAGCTGACAGACGCACTTGCTCCTGTTGACGTTTTTTAAGGAACTCTTCCCGCTGGCCATAAAGTATGTCCCGCAGGTTTGCAGTCGCTTTATCCATATTCCGCTTCTGGGCTGTATTGAAACAGTTGTTGGCTTCCTCGACCTTGAATCGTTCTGCAATTTTAAAGCGACGAATCTCTGCATCTCGCTGGCGTTGCAGCTCTTGCCGTTTGCGATCCTCCAGCTCGTATGCATGACGCTGCTGGGACAACTTATTTATCTTACACTGGCGTAGTTTCTCGTCCAACTTAATCTGTTCATCATGTTGATTGATAACAAGGACTTCATGCGAGTGAGCCAATCGCTTTTGCGCCTGTGCCTGGTAGCATAGCTGAACGGCGCACGCCTCCTTCTTGAGTATTCGCTTGTCACGCAGCTCCTTGATTTCTTTACCGTACCGGGCGTCTAGCTTGCGACGCTTTACGAGATCAACGCAAAGGACTCTATCGTCGATCTCATTACACATGCTCTCGTCTATGAAAGAGGTTTGTGGTAATCAGTTTTATTTGTCGTAAGCTTAGCACCATGAACTTACATTTGGCTATCTCGGCCTTCTCTTTGAGAGCATCTTGGTAGGCACGACGGTAAAACTCGCGATTTTTTTCAGCGCGCTCCTTGGCTGCTCTTTTTTCCTTCTCGTGCAGAAGCTTGTACTGTGCACGCTCGATAATTACGTCGTAATCCTCCTGCTTCTTTTTGGCCAATCTTTGAAGTCGCCTCTCTTCCAGATCCTTTAAAAAGTAGGCACGTAACTCGACCGCTTTCGCTGCTTCACGGGCTTTTTCCTCCTCCTCAGTGACGTTGCAAGAGGGCATCAAAAGCTCTGGACACTGTTCTTCATCGATACGCTGCTGCTTTCGCGCCTCTTCAGCAATTCCCCGATTTAGTGCTTCATTGAATTTTCGCTGATAATACACTTCGCTCTCGATCACGGCGTGTTGCAGAGCTCGTTGACCTGGCTTCATGTCCTCCAGTATTCGGTTAGCGCGCATGACGCGGTTCACGCGCATTTGCTCGTGCTCGAGCATGGTTTGCCTTTCTCTGATTGTAGCCTCGTGCAGTTCCTGATCGAGTTTTGCTTGCCTCTCCTCGTCGAACGAGATATTACCCGTGTTCGTGAAGCGCTTGCAGACCCAATCGCTACCCTCCTTGAGGTATGTCATGTAGCGACGCTCTTCCTCTTCCGCAGCCAGAGCTGCTTGCTTCTGTGCCATAGTTGACCTGGACATGATGTCATCAAAGCGCTTCGCTGACACCACAACAGGTTGAAGATTGCGATTCTTGATGAGCCTCGTGTGGCCGGGTTGCGCTATGCAAGCCTTGTTGAATTTTAGCCTCAGCATTTTATTATTATTTTACGTGTTGAGTACCGCGAAATTCTATCGATGTGCAGAAGAAGTGTACGAACTGTGATGCGTGTCTGTGGGTGTCTGTTGTTTGTTTGATTGTTTGTTTGTTTGTCTGTTTGTTTGATTTTTTGTTTTGTTTGTTTCCGTTAATATGGAATGTATAGACTACTGTGTGGATTCATATTCCCCTTATTCTTATCTGTGTGTCAAAGATAACAACTTTATTATCTGGCAAATTTATTGGCTGCTCTAGTTGCTGTTGTCAAATATTTAACAGCAACATTTAAGCGCTGCCATCTTATAAAATACCCGTCAGTGTTAACTTAGAGCACATTATCCCCTAAAAATATTATTGTTAGTAGCTTTAGCTTACATTATATACGACGTCTGAGAAGGTAAAAATGCATTATCTTTTGCTCTAAATTTACTATATTCTCGCAACTCCTTAGAAAAATTATATGACAAATCCTATCAATTGACAATTATTAATAGGGCGACTCGCTCAAACTATAGAAACTAAGCAAATTCATGATTATTTCAATCTAGCTCATTACATTTTGCTGATTATATCCAAGAATTTTAACGCCAAATACGCTTACGATCGGTTGTTTTGCTGAATTTGTCATTTGAACTGCATTGCTGAACTCCACCTATAGTTTTCATCGAGCTCGCGCTATTTAATGGGCTTTCTCTTA